TGGGACCTCTAACGGTGGAGCCAGTCTTTATCCCTAGAGCACAAATGTACTTTGGGGGCCCATTCCCTATGGAGGAATACTATTGCAGCTCAGATACAGCAAGGAGGGTCTAGGCCCTACCCCAAATGATATGACAGACTTTGAAGGTCCCTGGTGGGAGGCCTCACTATCTCTGGGGAGGAGGTGGGGGATGGGTTGGGGGGGCAGGTGGAGAACATGGGAGGATGGGAGGGAGAGGGAATGGGGGAATGGATATGTAAATATAAGTACCAATTAAAGAATTTAAATAAAAAATAAAAAATAAATCTACTTCTACTGCTTCTAAAAAGATTAAACAAACAAACAAACAAACAAAACAAACAAAACCAAAAAATGGCAAACAGGTCACATAACAAACCTTACCAAAACTTTTGGGGTGGGAGGAAGGCCATTGATGGTTGGTTTCTGTGAAAAAAAATTTTTTTTTAAAGTAATTTTTAATACTGCAAGAAACTCTAGGGTTAAAAATAAAACTTTAGTCATTTACTGTACCAGTTATTATAAAACTTATTTTTTTTATTTGTTTATTTATTTATTTATTATGTATACAGCATTCAGCTTCCATGTATATCTGCACACCAGAAGAGGGCACCACATCTCATTACAGATGCTTGTGAGCCACCATGTGGTTGCTGGGAATTTAACTCAGGACCTCTGGAAGAGCAGTCGGTGCTCTTAACCTCTGAGCCATCTCTCCAGCCCCCCAAAACTTATTTTTTTAGATTATTTTAATTTTATGTATATGAGTGTTTTGCCTGCATGTATGTATATATATGAACCTGTGTGTGCCTAGTGTCTGTGGAGGTCAGAAGGTGTCAGATCCCCTGGGACTGAGGTTACTGATGGGTGAGAGCTGTCGTGTGGATGTGGGAATTGAACCCAGGCCCTGTGGAAGAGCAGCCAGTGCTCTCACTGCTGGGCCATCTCTCGCTACCTGACCCTGGACTTCTGAGCTCTCGCAGTCCTGCTCCAGCCTCTGGTGAGGTGCGACAACAGCCCACGCCACCATGCTCAACTCCAGGTACCTGAGTTCTTATTCTTGCTCCCCCCGTCTATGAAAACCCTGTTACTTACAACCAATGGCTGGGTGCCCGCTGTACTCACAGGGAAGTCCCTCTTGTCCTTTTTCCGAGGTAACTGTGGAGCTTGCGCTGATCCCTCTGTGTTTTCGCTGATCAGTTTTGAAATCCCATCACCATTTCCT